AAAAAAAATTACGCACAAATAAACATCTTGCCTTCAATGTATTTGGAATTTATTTTGCCAGAAGAATATTCATTTTGTGTTTAAAAAGTGAAGGGCATGACTTTGAATTCATCTCTTTAGAGAGAGGTAATGTTATGTAGGATTTTATGTCGAAAATCAAAAGATCATACTTTTGGATTATGAAGGAATATGAAAGAGCTAATCTCATCGCTTGTCAAAGGTTTATAACCTTGATCCTTAAAAAAACATTTCATTATATGACATTTCAAAGGTCTTTCAAGTTTTAATTTTTTTTCATTATCCATAGCCTAAAAATGTTCATTCAATCAAACAACTTTAAAAATATTTAAGAAAAATGAAAAAAATTCAAACAAAACATGATGTTTTTTTATGCAAATGCAATTAAGTCCTATGCTAGGTGAACAATGACCTCGTCTGCACCTATTTCGATTAAGATTCACGCCTCAAATTTCAATGCCTTATTTAGTTTATTTTCCATTTCTTAATCAATTCTTACATTAATACTCTATCTTTAATGAGGACTTTTGTCACTTTCATTAGTGACCTACAATTCCCTGTAGAATGTCTAGATGTCTCATTGCGGAAATCACAACACTATTTTGATCATAGATGTGGACGAAAGAGTTTGACATTACGTTCATCAGCCTAATGGCGAGATATTGACCTTCAATCAGATATGAAACATTTTTTAGATGAGTGTTTGAAATACTTTTAAGATCTTACTCGAAAGACTTTCCTTGACTGGTTCAAGCAACTGGTTGATTTCCTTCTTTTGCAACAGTGAGGACTACAACCTCAAGGACTCCAGTTCACAGTTGGGTGAAGGATGGCCTAACTATGTTGCTTTTGGAGGACGATGGTGGAACAATGTCCTCAATAATTAAGTTACAATAGATGATAGTTAAAAGACCAGTCAGAATGGTTATCTCATGTGGCCATACGATATCATATCAGTCGAGTTAGCGCACCCCCTCAATATTTTGTTGTCCCAGCAACGACTGATAATGAAGAGCGACCGATTTATTATTAATCGATAATAATAGTGATCAAATCATTCCTTTTGAAACATTAATAGGAAAAAGAGAAATGTACTTAAATATCAGTGGCCATTTGTATAGTTTACCTATATTAATATTTGGATCATACGATGTATTTGTGATCGGGATTGTCTCAGGAAAGGCCGGTTAATATACGGTATTATCGGATACATTAAAAGATATTTAATAAATTCGGTTTAGCGCTACCTATTATGTTGACAGACTAATAATGTTTTAGGTAGAAAACATGAAAAACTATTAAAAAATTGGTAACCGGTAAACTTTGGTTATCGGTAAGTATATATCATTTTTATAAAAGTGCTCATACTTTCAACATAACAGGTAAATTTTATCGGTTTTGTCATAATGAAACTGGTTTTGTCATATTTTTACATGTTATATTGTAAAGTATCTATCCTTTTTATAAAAGTGTCCATACTTTTTTCACTGTGGGAAATATTAATTTAAGGTTATCTTTTGTGTGAGTTTTAAGATATTAATTTAGTAATTATAAGCGTCTAATGATTTATTTTTTACGTTACAGTATATATTATTATTAAATTAAAAACAATAAAAATATATATTACATATTTATTATTATCTTTGGTTAATATTGTTAAATTTAAATACTAAATAATATTTTATAAAATATCAAAACAATCAAATAATTTTTTGTGTAAATGAAATTATTAAATTAATATTGTAGGTGGAAAACATGAAACACTGTTAAAAAAAATTGAAACATAAATTACATAACTTTTAAAAAAAGTATCGATCCTTTTTATAAAAAGTATAGACACTTTCAATATAATGGGTAAAAATATGATGTAATAGGTAGCGCTTATATAATGTAATAGGTAGCGTTTATATAATGTAATAGGTAGTGCTTATATTGTAAAGTATCTATCATTTTTATAAAAGTGTCCATATTTTTTTCACTGTGGAAAACATTAATTTAAGGTTATCTTTTGAGTGAGTTTTAAGATATCAATTTAGTAATTATATGTATCTAATGATTTATTTTTTATGTTACGGTATATATTATCATTAAATTAAAAAAAATAAACATATATATTACATATTTATTATTATCTTTGGTTAATATTGTTAAATTTAAATTCTAAATATTATTTTATAAAATATCAAAACAATCAAATAATTTTTTGTGCAAATTAAATTATTAAATTAATATTGTAGGTGGAAAACATGAAACACTATTAAAAAATTGAAACATAAATTACATAACTTTAAAAAAAGTATTGATCATTTTTATAAAAAGTATGGACACTTTCAATATAATAGGTAAAAATATGATGTAATAGGTAGCGTTTATATAATGTAATAGGTAGTGTTTATATTGTAAAGTATCTATTCTTTTTATAAAAGTGTCCATACTTTTTTCATTGTGGAAAACATTAATTTAAAATTATCTTTTGAGTGAGTTTTAAAATATTAATTTAGTAATTATAGGCGTCTAATGATTTATTTTTTACGTTGCGGTAAATATTATTATTAAATTAAAAACAATAAACATATATATTACATATTTATTATTATTTTTTGTTAATATTGTTAAATTTAAATTCTAAATAATATTTTATAAAATATCAAAACAATCAAATAATTTTTTGTGTAAATGAAATTATTAAATTAATATTGTAGGTGGAAAACATGAAATACTATTAAAAAAATTGAAACATAAATTATATAACTTTAAAAAAAGTATCGATCCTTTTTATAAAAAGTATGGACACTTTCAATATAATAGGTAAAAATATGATGTAATAGGTAGCGCTTATATAATGTAATAGGTAGCGTTTATATAATGTAATAGGTAGTACTTATATTGTAAAGTATATATCCTTTTTATAAAAGCGTCTATACTTTTTTCACTGTGGAAAACATTAATTTAATGTTATCTTTTGAGTGAGTTTTAAGATATTAATTTAGTAATTATAGGCGTCTAATGGTTTATTTTTTATATTACGGTATATATTATTATTAAATTAAAAACAATAAACATATATATTACATATTTATTATTATATTTGGTTAATATTGTTAATTTTAAATTCTAAATAATATTTTATAAAATATCAAAATAATCAAATAATTTTTTGTGTAAATGAAATTATTAAATTAATATTGTAGGTGGAAAACATGAAACACTATTAAAAAAATTGAAACATAAATTACATAACTTTAAAAAAAGTATCGATCTTTTTTATAAAAAAGTATGGGCACTTTCAATATAATAGGTAAAAATATGATGTAATAGGTATCGCTTATATAATGTAATAGGTAGTGCTTATATTGTAAAGTATCTATCCTTTTTTATAAAAGTGTCCATACTTTTTTCACTGTGGAAAACATTAATTTAAGGTTATCTTTTGAGTGAGTTTTAAGATATTAATTTAGTAATTATATACGTCTAATGATTTATTTTTTACGTTGCGGTATATATTATTATTAAATTAAAAATAATAAACATATATATTACATATTTATTATTATATTTGGTTAATATTGTTAATTTTAAATTCTAAATAATATTTTATAAAATATCAAAACAATCAAATAATTTTTTGTGTAAATGAAATTATTAAATTAATATTGTAGGTGGAAAACATGAAACACTATTAAAAAAATTGAAACATAAATTACATAACTTTAAAAAAAGTATCGATCCTTTTTATAAAAAGTATGGACACTTTCAATATAATAGGTAAAAATATGATGTAATAGGTAGTGCTTATATAATGTAATAGGTAGCGTTTATATAATGTAATAGGTAGTGCTTATATTGTAAAGTATCTATCCTTTTTATAAAAGTGTCTATACTTTTTTCACTGTGGAAAACATTAATTTAAGGTTATCTTTTGAGTGAGTTTTAAGATATTAATTTAGTAATTATAGGCGTCTAATGATTTATTTTTTATATTACGGTATATATTATTATTAAATTAAAAACAATAAACATATATATTACATATTTATTATTATCTTTGGTTAATATTGTTAAATTTAAATTCTAAACAATATTTTATAAAATATCAAAACAATCAAATAATTTTTTGTGTAAATGAAATTATTAAATTAATATTGTAGGTGGAAAACATGAAACACTGTTAAAAAAATTGAAACATAAATTACATAACTTTAAAAAAAGTATCGATCATTTTTATAAAAAGTATGGACACTTTCAATATAATAGGTAAAAATATAATGTAATAGGTATCGCTTATATAATGTAATAGGTAGCATTTATATAATGTAATAGGTAATGCTTATATTGTAAAGTATCTATCTTTTTTTATAAAAGTGTACATACTTTTTTCATTGTGGAAAACATTAATTTAAGGTTATCTTTTGAGTGAGTTTTAATATATTAATTTAGTAATTATTGGCGTCTAATGATTTATTTTTTACGTTACGATATATATTATTATTAAATTAAAAACAAAAAACATATATATTACATATTTATTATTATCTTTGGTTAATATTGTTAAATTTAAATTCTAAATTTTATAAAATATCAAAACAATCAAATAATTTTTTGTGCAAATGAAATTATTAAATTAATATTGTAGGTGAAAAACATGAAACACTATTAAAAAAATTGAAACATAAATTATATAACTTTAAAAAAAATATCGATCTTTTTTATAAAAAAGTATGAACACTTTCAACATATTATAATGTAATAAGTAAATTTGTAATGTTATCGGTATAAATATACTGGTTTACTTATAAAATATGTCAATATAAGCGCTACTTATTACATTATATAAGCGCTACCTAATATGTTATTGTACTTTATAATATTTTTGGTTAAATAATATAAAATAACCGATCTAAATTTTAACCGATCACTTATTTAACCGATCACACAGTATATTAACATTTTTTAGGCGCCGTACCGCATAAGTACCCATTTGTGGTCTTGGTGACACCAACCATCTGAGCCTCCTCCGCTTTTCAAAGGGAAAAAACGAAGCAAAACACTGTTTTTTCTGGTGTTTGACATTTTGAGTGACAAAAATGCTGAGGAAGTTGCTGTTTCAACAAACTCCCAAAGCTTATCGGTTCCTGTCTACTCAGTCAACACTTCCTTTACGCAACAAAGGCTCTGTTTTCTCTTATTGTTCATCATCGCAACCCGAAATCCCTCCTAGTAATTCCATCGAACAGCTTCAAGACCAACCCGAGAAAACCATTTCCATTGACCGTTCTGGACTCTACAATGCTCCTGGTAACTTTTCCACCTTCTTTCTGTCTCTATATTCCTATCATTTCAGTCTTTATTTTTTTCGTTCATTCTTTTTTGCTTTTTTTGGTGGAGGTGTTTTAGAGCATTCTCATGAACCTTCCACAGACTCTGAACTTGTTAAACATCTCAAAGGCATTATTAAGGTTAGTAAAATCGGCCTCTTTTGATGTAACAAATTCTGGGTTTTTTTTACTTTTGTAGTTAAAGCAATATCTTCATTTTAATGCATTGAAATCGTCAAGATTACCTGCCAATTGTTGCATTTAACTACAATACCATTAGGACACTCGTTAGCCAAAACCCATGAGCCTTTTAGTACTTGAAACTGTGCCTTTTGCGCTTCGAAACATTGGGTTTTACTGCTTGTGAAATCTTGTCAGTTTCGTGGTGGGCCGATATCTGTGGCGGAATATATGGAAGAAGTCTTAACAAATCCCAAGGCTGGGTTCTATATCAACCGAGATGTCTTTGGAGCTGAAGGTGATTTCATAACATCTCCTGAAGTAAGCCAGATGTTTGGAGAGGTAACTCAGTTTCTACTGAATTTGTGGATGTGAAGGAATACACAAGTAAACAATCAATTTAATTCTGTTTTCCCCATTGGCATAATTTCAGATGGTTGGTGTTTGGGCTATGTGTTTATGGGAACAAATGGGACAACCAAAGAGGGTGAACTTGGTTGAGCTTGGCCCTGGCCGAGGAACTCTAATGGCTGATCTTCTTCGTGTATGATAGTCACTTGTATTTCTCAGTCAAGTTTACTTCTATATGTAAAAGATATGCAAGTTAGTGCTTTGAAGTTTTTATTTTGTTAGTTTTGTAAGGACTACATTTGGCTTATTTTTGAATGAGTTTTGGTATATTTCTCAATAGGGTGCATCGAAATTTAAAATTTTTATGGAGTCATTGCATATACACATGGTAGAATGTAGCCCAGCACTGCAAAAACTTCAGCACCAAAAATTGAAATGCATGGATGAAGATAGTACCACTGAAGGTGTTGATAAAATGTCTCGAAGCACACTGGCTGGGACACCTGTATCATGGCATGCGACACTGGAACAAGTTCCAACAGGATGTATGGCTTTAACTTCTAGTATTTTCTCCCTCTGGAAACAAATAGCTAGATACCTTTGGTTTATGAAAGCAGTTCGAATTTTATATCCTAAATAGTTTATGGATGCTTAGCAAAAAAAAGAGAGAGAGTTTAGGGATTGAGTTAAACAATAACTTACTGTTTTCTCATTGACTTGCATATGTTGCAGTGCCCACCATAATTATTGCCCATGAATTTTATGATGCACTTCCAGTTCATCAATTTCAGGTTTGTCTTGTTCATTCTAATCCTTGGGGTTAATTATCTGTTGTTTCTGTTGCCCTGTGCTGGCTGTTCCTTGCTCCATGGAACTTTAAAAACTTGACATAATTTAACTTTAATGATTATTCATTGGATTAGTGTCATTATATGAAGTTTCTGTTATAATTTCCAGCATACTTGGTTACACATCTGCTATCATGTTTATGAAAATTGTAAGAGGGGTTACATTACTTATGTGCTGTCTCATTACTGATAATACGAGATCATGAATAGATCCATGGTACTTTGAAGATTGTACAACATAATATACATCTAGTCATGTAAGACATGGGCCGAGTTTATGTTTTATGCTTTGAACAATTGCTGAGAACCAGGTATAGAAACTGCCAAATTGTTTTATGGTCAGGAGTTGTTGTCTTCTTCTTTAAGTTAGACAAGTTTGAACACTTGTAATTTTGAAGTCTCCGTACTTTATCATCTGGTTTGCATTGCTTTAATTGAAAGTTCTTTGCAGAGGGGTTCTCGTGGCTGGTGTGAGAAAATGATAGATGTCACGGAAGCTTCATTGTAAGAATTTAACATCTACTCTTACAACATTCAATCACCTTACTAATTTAAACAATATAGTTGTTTGATATCTTTTTTGTGTATGGGTTCAGGTTCCGTTTTGTTTTATCCCCGCAACCTACACCTGCAACTCTTTACCTAATGAAACGCTGCAAGTGGGTTGTCTCCGAAGAAGTAGAGAAGCTTAATCAAATAGAGGTTTGCCCCAGAGCAATGGACTTAACTTATACACTAGCGAAGAGAATAGGTACTGATGGAGGTGGTGCACTTGTTATTGATTATGGCCTGAATGGAGTAGTGTCAGATAGTCTGCAGGTATAGATGCCTTATTATTCATCAATGATACAATGAAATCTCGGGAAATTAACTAATTTTAGCTTTTTGTCACTTTTAAGAGTTATAAAATCGCCTTTTTTTGTTCCTCTTCTGCATTGTTCTTTTAACCACGAAACATGTGCAGGCGATTCGGAAGCACAAGTTCGTTAACATACTAGACAACCCTGGGAGTGCTGATCTTAGTGCATATGTTGATTTTGCATCCATCAAGCACTCTGCCGAGGAAGCTTCAGGTTTGCATCTCTGTTTTATTAGTCAAATTGATATCCAGTTGTATTAAGCATATTTCATTCCAAAATGAGTCCAAATGAAATCCATTAAAGAAGAAAATAACTAATTCCATGATTCCCACATTTCTTTTAGATGATGTATCAGTTCACGGCCCTATTACTCAGTCCCAGTTCCTCGGTTCCCTTAGAATAAATTTCCGAGTTGAAGCTCTGTTACAAAACTGCAAAGATGAACAAGCTGAATCTCTAAGGACCGGATATTGGCGTTTGGTCGGTGACGGCGAAGCCCCCTTTTGGGAGGGGCCAGAGGAACAGGCACCGATCGGTATGGGAACCCGTTACATGGCAATGGCCATTGTTAACAAGAAGCAAGGCATCCCAATTCCATTTCAATGAAGTTTTAAATAGCATTGTTATATTATGTTTTCCTATTACAATTTAATAAAGCTAGATTTTCAGTTGTCTGAATCTTCATTTCAGTTCCACCTATGATGATATAATGCATTTTATACTATAATTTTGGCTTAATGAAAAAAATATGACCAAATACGTTTTTAACTTAATAGGTGTCTATTTTTTTTTTCGTTCAAAGTAACTGACGATATTATCTTTTAAGTGTATACGTTACAACGGATGTTAAAAATCATTATTTGACATGAGTCGTGTTTATATATATTTTAAAATTTTTATTAAATAATAATAATATTATTAAAAAAACATTTAAAAATAATAATTCCCCGTCTCCCTCCCTCTCACGCTCTCTGCCCCCTCCCTCTCAGTATGAACTACACCGGTGGGATTGTTGGTATTAAATCCTAGTTAAGATCCCACCTATTATATTTTGGATTAAAGACTTCGGGATTTATGTATCTAGGGGTTTTGAATGACGGAAAAAGTGATGGTCGATCAGTGGGTAGATGAGGACAAAAATGATGGTTCGAGATATAGCCCACGATGGCTGGAAATGAGGTTTAAAATTAAAGATTTTAGTTTCCTTTTAATTTTAAAGAAACTTGAATTTTTTTTTAAAAAAAATAAAAATTTCAAAAAATATAAACGTGTCACGTGCCAGATAACAATATTTTTCATGATTTCTATTGTCCTAATGTTACTGGTGAGTCAACCTTAATGGATGATATCTTCTGATACGGCTGCACTCCTTACTGGATTAGTCTTCACTTTTACCTACGCGTGAAAGCAACACACGTTAATTATTTTCTTAACGAGATACAATATTGTAAAGAAACATTTATGCATACATAAGTGTGTCATATTATTTGATTCACATCGAATTGTACATTCTTTAAGGATTCTCTAATCCTTTTTTAGTTAAACCATATTCCATTTGAAATTGTCATAATCATTAGTCGTTATTCCTTATTTTTATTAATAGCGTCCATTCACGTTTACTATGCATCATTATGCATTTTCAATTATAGCATATTTTTATGTTGATAATGCATCCATATGCATTTTAACTTTGGCATCCTTTCATGCCAATAATGTACTCATATGCATTACTTTTTTATGCCGACAATGCACCCATATGTATTTCAGCTTTGGCATCCTTTCATGCCAATAATGCACCCATATGCATTATTCTTTTATGCCGATAATGCACCCATATGCATTTCAGCTTTGACATCCTTTCATACCAATAATGCACCCATATGCATTATTCTTTTATGCCGATAATACACCCATATGCATTTCAGCTTTGACATCCTTTCATGCCAATAATGCACCCATATGCATTATTCTTTTATTTATTCGTTATAGAGCAGTTCATACTCTAAAACTCATTCATAATATTCTTTCCATACATTAAATAAATTTTAGTAACTACTGTAAAACATACTTTAAAATTTAACATTCTAATTGTATTTATTGTATATTGTCCTTAAATAAATTGCATACAATAAATGTACTCACCTGACTTGCCTTGCTTTGATATCCAAAACGCACAAACTGCTACTTCGGAACTTGACCTTTGCATTTAACTTTACTTAACTCAGGAGCTTGATTTCGATCTATTCCATATCCATCAGATACATGTATAATATCAATTGTTAGTATATTTCCTAACAATTATACTTAAACATTACTCAAAAGTACCTATTAGTAACTTTTCTACAACTTAGTCTTTCATACAATTTTTGGTTCCTCAGTATCGATACCCCTTCTATGGTATCAATATTACCATACTAAGGTACTGATACCTTCACATGGTATCGATACCGTTTTTGCATTCTGTTTCAAAATGGTATCGATACCTTCCCTTCGATATCGATACTCCCTTGTCGATATCGATATTGATTGAATCAGTATCGATACTACACAGCTGGTTCATCATATTTTTAGCTTGTAGTATCGGTATTGTTCTATCAGTATCGATACTTATGCCCAAATTTTCTAATTTTTAACCCGATTATTTCACAAATGAGGACAAATTTTGTTAGGATTACCTCCCATAATGCTACCCAACTCTTCATTACTTACACATACTAACTTTTCCTCATCTAGATACTTAAAACATCTAGTATCCCTCAAGATTATTTGCTTCTAAGAATCACACCAAAATTTCTATCTTGTTTTTAAACTCATCCAATGTTTCTAATCTCTCAATTAACTCTTTAACAAGTCAAATCTACCAGTAAACAACAATAAACACTCATATATTAACATATCATTTCAAAACTCATTTTATAAAATCCCCATTATATCCCTTATCTCATTATTTTAATCTCATTTAATTCTTCCTTATACATATATATCACTTAATGTTACCAAAGAAACCCATAATTTAAAGAAAACACTAGCTAATGGGAATTTACCTTATGCTAGAGAGGAGAGCACCCCTACGTAAAGAAGAAGTGTAGAAATTAATTTACTTTCCTCTTTCTTCCTATTTAAAATCCCTATCTATTTTTAAATTCATTTTACTCTTAAAAGACCAAAGTTCCCTCTTACTTATCTATTGATAAAAATTAGTCTAAACACTATTCCAAATCATTTTTCTCATCTTTTACCACTTATTAAATTTTAAATCTTAAATTATCATATCTTTTTGATATAGTCCCTGGTCTAATACTTGGGATATTACATACTTTTACGTTAAGTCTTCTTATAAAGCATATTAAGCTATTCAACACCAGAAGATTCATCTTCTTCATTCATCTATGGCTTGAAGGGTTTTAGCTTCCATTCATGAAATTTTCATTTTAACTCTCAAGGAGACACCCAAGCTTGTACCTTTCTATCTAAATTACAAATCCAAAATTGTGTTCCTTATGTGGATGACTCGATAATTATATGAAAGATTTGAAGTTGTTCTTTCTTTTTCAAATGATTATAGATTTCTCAGCTTCCTGGTGTGGGGCATGTAAATTCATGGAACTTGTTTTCAATGATATGGCACTGAAGTTAGTTTGTAAGACTTGAAGTTGGTGAGCTCTCTATATGTATCCTACCCTTCCTTTGTACATACTTTATTTTCTATATTCTACAAAGATCCCTCTACTATTAAAAGTTACAAAGTTGTCCTCTGACAATAGGGTATTGCTTTGTTGAGTCCCTGACTATTAAAAGTTACAAAATAGTCCTCCGACCATAGGATATTGCTTTGTTAAGTCCCTCGAATATTAAAAGTTACAAAATTATCCTCCGACTATAGGGCGTTGCTTTGTTGGAGGCGACTATTAGAAGTTACAAATGGTCACTTGACAATTCATTATGTTTCAAACTCGTCCTTTTCCGTTAAAATATTAACGATAGTCTGAGCTGGACATTAACATGCTGATTGAGATATGATAGTCGTTTGAGATTATGAGATCATATTTTATCATATCTCAATCAGCAGATTAACATCCAACTTAGACTGCCACCGATTTTTTAACGAAAACGGATGGGTTTGGAACATAATGAATAGTCGTGTGACCAATTTTTAACTTTTAATAGTCGAGGGACCATTTGTGTACTTTACCCATTATTAAATTATTAAAGAATACAATTAGTTTACACTTTCTAGTAGGATGATGGGGAAAACTATGATAGCCTTGGCTACCACATCATTTTGTGTATTGAAAAGAACCTTTAAAATGGTTGAGTTGGGAGAGGATGTTTGATCATATGAACTTGTAATGAAAAGATATACTACAACTTTTAGAGGTTGTAGGAAGGGAAGAAGGAAGTGCATAAGTGCTGCTTGAATTTTCAGTTTGTATATTTTCCTCCATTAATAATGTCAAAAGAATTTGAATATTGTATGTTTCAAACTGTTAATAGTTTAATGGAAAAGAAAAATTGAAATGAAAGAAATAATTTCAACGGAGCAAGTTTTTTTTTTTTTTTTTGCACTTGTACTTTTACCAAAAAAGGTGCAACTAGGCACATAAGACACCTGAGTCACTATAAGATCATAGGTAATGGTTGTGACTCGAGAGTTGCATGACAAGTATATTGTTGATTCTCGACATTCCATCTATTCTAAATTTATCTTTTCATATCCATTTGATGCATTATAGATCTCATATCAATATTAGAATGTGTATGATATAGGTGTTGATATATATATATATATATATATATATATATATATATATATATGATTCAATTACACCTGATGTAAATTTTTAATTTTATATTTTGTTATGATCATTGAATGAATGAAAACTGAGATTACCTTTTTTTCTTTTCTGAGAATTTTTTTTTAGTGTTAATCTCAACCGTTTATTTTCACTCATCCAAATATCCTAAAAATGTATAAAACTAAAAAGTTGTACACATAATGAACAAATCTCTCTCTCTCTCCCTATATATATTATTAATAATAAAAAATCGTATGAGATGAACACAAATAAAATTTTACGGTAGTAAAATAAACTAACATAAAAAAATTTGAATGCTCACCCTGAACAATCCTAGCATATATGTCTGTGTGTGACCAACCATCTCAATAAATCAAACCTTCCAATCATCCTCCCTTTTTCTTTATTCAATTTAGAAAATTGCATTAATGAGAGATAAGCTATACAGTTTTAAACATTCTTCTAACAACATTCTTATTGTTGTTCAAAGTTAATATACGGAGAAAAAAATAAAACAATATTCACCAAAACAACGAGCTCGAGACCTCCCTTGGCTGTTGTTTAAAGGAGATGTAATAACAAAAAAAGGATGCATCAATGGCAAAACAAAAGAATGGGAGAAACGGGTTAAAAGGAGTGTAATGGAGAACTTGTTACTTTCCATTGGTATGAGCATTCTTATGGAAAGGCCAAAGGTTAACCAGACGCTCAAGCACCAATGCACTTCTCAAGAAGTAGCCTGAAAATCCAGCCGGGGTTGATGGCGGAGGGAAGTCTTCAGCCGGCATCGCAAATGGCCGAATCATCTTTTCCATTTTCGCTAATGTGAGATAGGAGCCCACGTCTTGCAGCCTTTCTGGACCCATTATTGGCAGTGTATGCTCCTGCTTCAGGGAAGCCTCACTGTCGTCCTTCCTCTGTCAAAGCAAAAGATCAATGTCGACATGTCAGTTGCATCATGGAAAAAACCAGTTCCAATCTGAAACCATGATAAGCATTAATCTCCCGGTAAAGAATATTAAAGAGTTAATGAAGCACATTGCATCATTTGCAGTTTCATGCACCCGAAAAGAAGCAAAAAAAAAAAGGAAAAAAGTTTTGATAAACATTTTATAATTCAGGTTTGTGTTATCATGTTTGATATTAACTTCCATTGTTGATCTTTCTTCCATAATAGCCTTTCTTTGTACATATGATAGTATTACTATTACCTCCAATGGGGATGAATCTGCACCATTGCTAAATGTCAACTCAATGCGGAACCGTCGTGGGTCTTCTAAAGCTACCTGTAATTTCAATGATCAAGGACCAGATTAACATGGTTCGATCTACCAGGCATTAACTCAAAAGACTTGACCATGGGCTATCTGAGAAAAGATTGCTGGATAATAGTATGGACGTTCCTATTCTTGCACACCTCAATAGAATTAAAAAGGGAGGGGTTTACCTCTGTGTTTTCGAACATTCTAATCACAATGTGACTCATGTAGTCAAGTTCCTTCGTTTTATGCAAATGTTCCAAGGCGTTCTGGGAAACGAGACCAGCTTCTCCCTGAAGAGATTCGTCTAGGTTACAGTACCGAATTACATTCATGAGGGAATGGATATGCGATTCCTGTCAGAGAGTTGATGTTAAATAATGTAACACTGTAAGTAAATATGTAGCAATTTTTTATAAGAATTGCAGGTCTCGTTAAAACCCCCTTCATAATTGTTAGAGAGCTGAAAGGGCAAACTAACAAAAAGCGGAAGGGGAAAAAGAGCACCTCAGAAAATATGTAGCAAAATTTGAGTCAGGTAAGTCAAGGCTGGTGAGTAAGGGTAAACGGTAAAGAGAACAAAAATACTTGCTGAATCATAGAAAGAGAAGGTTGGTTAGTTCTTTTACTGTTTAGACTTACCGATGTGAAGTATAGACGTGTCCGCACATGGCGTTCAGGTGTCATGACATTTGCGTATCTGATAGAAAATCAGTAAAATTTAAGATAAATTAAAATAAAGAGAATGAGCCACGAAAAAGGTTTATATACGAACTTTGGGTCCAAACGGTATTTGGTCTCTTTATCATCATCCTCGTCTTGATCTATTGACATCTCACTTGTGGAATTAGATTTTCTCATGTCATCAGTCTTGGTGGAAAGCTCTGGTGGAAACCCTTCATTAGCCTTTTCAGTCTTGGTTGAGTTTGAGCAGTAGTCTTGATTACTCTTTAACTCAGCAACATGAAGGGCTTCTTCGCGAGTATTCCTCAGATCAATCAAAATTTTGCCCAACAAACGGCGTGCAATCTAAAGAGACAGGATAAAAATTAGGACATCTGTTATCACACATCAGTACTGAAGGTACTTCATTTGCATTTATGAAGGCTGAAAATGCACATTGTTGAAGAAGGGAATCAATATTCAAGCAAAGACCTTTTATCCCTAATAAATTAGGTGTTGTATCCCTATTCAAAATTTTAGGCTTTGATTTAGTTCAGTCAATCAGTAAACATATTAAATACAATCTTTGGTTCAAAACCTTTCTAACTTGAAAGAGACATGCTGCAAGGAATCACCTTGGAACCAATTTTTAGCTTTTGCTTTGGATTAATCCCATATTCATTAGGTATGACACCATCTGCCAGAAGCTGCAACAACAATAGCACATCAGACGATTAGGCAAACAGGTGATCTAGTAGTCAACAAGCAGTAAGCATGTTCGATAGGAAGCCTATTCCATAATTTAAAAAGCAATATGATGTTGTCATCAAAATAAGCAAATGAGATAACGTAGACAACGAGATTGAAGATCAAAGACAAAGTATGGGTAGATGAGATTAAATACAAGCAAAATGCTATTATAACTACTAAGAAAGACCAACATAAATGGCTCTATGGTCGTAAATGTTTTGTACCTGGGCAACTTTGAAGAGCTCATCCAAATCTTCAAGATTAAGATGTGCGTTATGCAGAAGATCATATCTGTCAAAAATTAAATTAACCGAAAAAAATATAAGCAATCAGAAAGAAAAGCAGAAGTGTTTTAAAACTTTTAAAAGCCAATACCTTTTGATATTATGGGTGTTTTAAAATTTTATAATCAGGACATAGGAACATGTTTCAGTTTTTACTCTTTAGAGATTTTCATAATACGTTGTTAAGGAACATTAAAATTCTTGTTATGTGGTATTATGCATATATCTAATGCAGCAATAATGCAAGCCCCACACCCTCAACCAGAGGCTACAACATCATTATCGAGGATCCATGCAGTGCATTTCAACTTTGATGAGTGATGTTGGAATGCAATTAAATCCTTGCAACAAACTCCTTGAAATAAAATTAATGGACATTTCTGTTTAACAAATTCAAAGGAATAGATTAAAGAATATACAAGGACGAGACTAAGTTGAGTAATGAAAAAAGGAGGCAACATTCAAAGATAAATTCTTAAACCAGGAATAAAGGATATTTCCACATATGCTTTGTGAATTATAAAATTTGTTGGGCACAGGGTAGTTATCCTAACAAAATTGTATTAATATAATAAACAATTACTCACTTGCAAGAGTAAGGCTTTGCTTGGTAGAGTGGAAAAATTGATGGAAGGAGAAAGAGGAAAAATGGGAAGACAACAAATTTTGAGTGTGCTAGGTAGGAAAGAAAAGTGAGAGGAAATAAGATAAGAGAAATGACCATTTTCGACTCTCGTGTGAAAATAAATCATTCCAATTTGGAAGGAAAAGAGGGGAGGAAATGTGAGAGATATGAGTAAAAAAAAAATATGTATTTTTTAAAACTTTATTTCTTTCCTCTCATTTTTCAATTCTACCTAGCAATGAATTGGAAAGAAAATGTAATTTTATTTCAATTTTCCATCTTTCCTACCAATACACCAGTTCCTACCCACCCACCAATGGAATTTTTTTTTCTATCTTTCCACTTTTCTACCCCTTTAATTTTCCATCCTTCCCATCTTCTTTCCACTCTACCACGCAAAGCCTAAGAGTCACAGGGTAGCTATTCTAACAAAATTGTATTAATAGAATGAAACAATTACTCACTTGCAAGAGTCATAAACATCAGGAATTTGAGTTATATCATAACGTCTGCACAAAAGCCCAATGTTAGTTAAGCCAAAACATCACAGGGACACCATCAAAACAATAACACTTTCAAGACACTACAAGGACAATTTGAAGATATTAAAATGATAAAGCCCTCCGTACAATCCAAATGATTGGAAATATGATAGAACTAACAATATTTAGAGGATTCCAACACTAGGATCAAGAAGAAAGGAAGATACTAACTCTTTACGTTCATTATACAAATCTCTTGCAAGTTTTTTCCACCGAGCAAACATCAAAAGGAATCCCTCGCTACCACATGGCAATCCAGCAGCAATACGATCAATGTCAATATTTGTCTTACCAAGTGCCTTTGCTTGGTCATATGGGAGAATCACATCATAAGGGCTTGTCTCAGCAAGATTCTCATCTTCATCCTTGGCAAGTATTCTGACTTGTTCAGTAACCTTCTTAGTTAATGTTACCTACATATAGGAGGTACAAAATGAAAAAGGGGAAGGAGAAAGAATAAAATGGCTTAGCAAATCAATCTTGACTGGGGCAGTAAAATTTTGTATTGCCCCACCAAACCTCTTCAAATAACCTAGAAATGAGCTAAAACTGGTAGGTCAGAAGAGCTAAGGGAGTCTATACAGTGTCCAATATTTACTTGATATGGTGAATTACCAGTTTGGGAAGTAGCTCAGAAGCATTAGAAGGCAATCCAGCTCCATCAGTCATCCAAGGACACTCAGATGTTACATTACTATGAGCCGACCTCACACCAGAAGTTATAATTTCATTCAGCCTAGACTGCAAAACGGAAAAGATAGTTTGAAGTGGTACTGAAAAAGATTTGTAGATTATTAAACATGAAACAGTAGTTTTGCACCTTGCATAACCATTAATGTCTATCTTTACACCACAGTTCTAGGGGTAAGTGCAGCAACTTATGGGAAACCACATACGAGAACAAGGTACTACAAAATACTACATAAAATAAGATGTTTTCAAAAGTGATAACTATTGACCACAAAAGTAAATAACATGCCCGACAAAAACCATTATTAAGCATACACCTGGAACTTAGAACTCTTGGGTTGTTCTTGAACATTGTATCTGTAGGAATTATAGAAATGAGCTGTCAAGAGATTCTGTAATTATTTTCTGTTTTTCAATCCCTTATTTCAAGGGATTACATTTCCTAGGATTAGTATCTTTCCTAACTTAGAGTTTCCTAGTTTAGAGGCATAATTTGTATATAAATATGTAATATGTTTCTACTGAAAGTATGCAAGAATAAAATAACAGACTTGTTTGTTTCCTACAGTCTGTTTTCTACAATACAGTGTTTTCTACAGTATCAAAGTCTCTTTAATCAAGTGATTAAGAGTTCCTACAACAGACACTTATTTAATTGAACCAAATTTGACCACAAGGTAGATGATAGGTCTGTGCTTTGCATGTGAAGGAGCATGTTAGTGAAAACAGACAACCCAAAATTTGACCTTCGGTACCTCACGTAACAGCTTAAAGATCTCAGGAGCTATACAGATTCTTAAATTCAATTCAGGAAGAAATGCATGGACATAGATACAAAGCTATCAGTATAATTAACAATCTTAGGGATGATCTCGTCACTTAAAATTGGCTTAATTCACAATTTGGCCCTTGAATTATACATGTTTTCCCACTTCGGTACCAAAACTTTTTTGGCCCACTTTGGAACCTAAACTATCATTTCCTCCCATTTAACCCTAAAAGTTAATGGCATCCAATAGGAACAGGCCACATTCCATACACTTATTAGGGATCATTTTTGGGGGTAATGTGGGACAAAATGATAGATAAGGTACCAAAGTGGTCCAAAAAAACGTTTCAGTGGAGAAACGGGTGTAATTCAAGGGCCAACTTCGAACTCTAACATTCACATAGAATTTCCCGTGCTTCCTCTTACTATTTTAACTGTTCACCCCTAATGCCTGAGAAAACTTATTTTGGTCATCAATATTGAAAGAAAACTTTATTTTATTTCTCAATTTGATACTAAACTTATAGTAAAAAGTAAATAATTGGTAGTATGATACAAGGTAAAAAATTTCAGGTCTGCGAGGAAACTTAGATGATCGTATTCAAGAACATAAATGAACCTTTTCAAAGCTCTCCTTTGATCCAACCATACTTAAATAACCACGTTAGACAGCTGAGCAGTCTTTGTATTGAATGGATAGGATAAATCAATCCATGTACCAAGCCAAAAATTCTAATTTACTTAATCATATGATACAGAAACAGCTAGTCAAATCAAGGGCACGAGGATATACAAACCTTTGCTTCTACAATCTCAATGCTTGCATTCTCGAGTCCGTCCAACATAGAGGAGTCCTTGCTAACAAGGGATACCTTGATAAGAAAACAAATTCAGCCATACAAATTCAATATCAAAAGGCAGAATGAACTTTTTAAGGGAACATTACAAACCAGGATTGGCGTTAGCTGCCCTTCAAGGTCAAGTAGGCCTTTAGCAAAAGCAGCTGCAGACATCTGTTCAATGATTTGATTTAAAAGCCTACTAATGATGCCAAATGACAATTGTAATAAGTATATAGAAATTAAGTTCTGAATGAAGCAGAAACAAGAAATAAACAATTTGAGAATAATAAGAAGATCAAATTATATATACTCATTTTCCACTCAACGCATACCCACCTGCACACGGCCCTCATCAGAACTATATATTTTCAGATCATGACGATATGTACTATGAAGGCGAAGTAGGCCAGTACCTTCACCTGTAATTTTATAACTATCCGTCATTAAAAGTTGCATATATCTGAATTTTTCAGTATTTTAACTACTTGGAACATATAACATAAATCTCTGGGGCTAAGATTCATTTAAGCAATTACTAAAAAGATTTTTTTTTTGATAGGAAAAGTAGGTCTCATAAAAACCTCCTTCTTAGTAGCCCTTACCATGAGGTCAGAACCTACTAGGGGAAGGAGGAATAGAGAACCTTAATATATTGATAATGTAAAAATTACATAAAACTAGAACCACTCCTTTAAGATACATAAAACTTAAGCACACTCTTATAACGCCTTGATGAAAAACCTCCGAACCCAGTACTAAAAAAGTGACCCACTACCCAATCCCCTCCTTTGCAAGCAAATCTGCCTCGCAATTACAGCTTCTCGGAATCCACCTCACAATGACCTCATACTCAGAAACCGCATCCGCAATATCCTTGACAAAATTTAAAAGAAAAGGAGGAACTGACTCCTGATATTTCAACCACTCCACAGCTAACTTGCAATCAGATTCAATAATAAGCCTTCCCTTCAATACCCATTCTGATGACACAAAGATGTCTATTCCTCTTTTGATGGCTTTTAACTCTGCTAAAATGATAGGAGTAGGCCCTATTTTTTCTGAAAACGACATCAATTTAATCCGATTCCAATCTCTAAGAATGCCCCCAATTCCTGCTAACAACCCAACCCTACTAACTGCTCCATCCACGTTAAACTTAAAAAAATCGACTGGAGGAGGACTCCAGTAAACCACAGGCCTGTTCGAATCAAGAGAAGCTGAAATATTATCAGCCAATGAAGGATCACCAATTAGAGAGTCCACTTGAATAGAGGATAAAGGATACTTAGCTAGGAACCATTTCGCAAGCCTTAACCTGACTGTGAAAAACAATGAGGATGTGTCCAGCTTGCCTCTTTCAAAAACAATTTCGTTTCTCATCTTCCAAATCGACCATAAAACAGCCCCCGGAATAAACTTCCACATATTAGAAAATGGCCTAAGAACAGACCATGAAATTAGAATTGATGAAGGATCAGTAGGTAAGGCTAACTTGATACCCCAGTAGGCTATGATTCTGTTCCATAGTACCCAGGAAAACTGGCAGGAAATAAACAGATGCTGAACTGATTCCTCTGCTTGATTGCAAAAGGGGCATAGAGAGTCCTCCCCTAAGTGAACCCCTCGTTTCTTCAATTCCCCTCTAACCGCTACTTTATTAAGTGATACTTGCCAAAGGAAAACCTCTACTCTAGGAGGAACCAGACCTTGCCAAACATATTTGTTCCACCTAAAGTTATCCTCATCCACTGAGTAGAAAGATTTCGTGCAAGCTTTAACGGAATACAAACCCTCGCCCGCACCAACCCAAAGCATACAATCCTCCAAAGATTCATTTAATTTGATAACATTGAGCTTGTCCAATAGATCAACCAGCTGAGCCACTTCCCAATCGCATAGATTCCTCCTAGTCTTAATATTCCACTCCCAACCATTCAAATCAAAACTACCAAATTCAGCAACCTTACCCCCTTGATTTGTTGACAGAGCAAAAATCCTAGGGAAAAGAACTTTCAATGGAAAATCCCCCAACCATGTATCATTCCAAAAGAAAATCGAATTGCCATTCCCAACTTGTAACCTCGCATGAGATCTAATGCATCCTCCAAAGAAATCATCCTTCATGTAGCTATTCACAATACCTCTCCAAATCCAAGAGTCCTTATGGGAGGAGACTTTATTGACATCCATAGAAAGACAACTAACACTATGTTTAGAACATAAGAACTTTTTCCACAAAGATTCTTTTTCGTTGGCAAACTTCCACACCCACTTTCCCAATAGTGCTCTATTAATAAGCTTCAAATCAACAACTCCTAGACCACCTCCACACTTCGGTTTACAAATCTTAATCCAACTCACCCAATGCATTTTCTTCTTTTCTTCTCCTCCACCCCATAAAAAATTCGCCATCAAATAGTTTAATTTTTGACAGATTTTAGCTGGAATCTTGAAAATAGCGAGATAAAAGATAGGTAAAGAGGATAAAACCGACTTAATAAGCACCAATCTACCGGCCATAGACAAAGAAGAAGCTTTCCATCCCGCCAATTTCTTATCAAAGTTAGCTAGGACTGGCTCCCACAGTTTCTCACAGTTTCTTTTAGCCCCTAGCGGAAGGCCTAAATAAACTGTCGGAAATGAACCAATAGAGCAGCCAATGTCCCTAGCCCAACTTCTCAGTGTGTCCTCCTCCACATTAATACCATACAATTTACTCTTAACTAAATTAAGATGAAGCCCCGTCATAAAACTAAAAATCATCAACACTCGTCTAACGTTTTTAATTTGAGTGATGGAGGCTCGACAAAAAATAATTAAGGCATCCGCAAACTGAAGATGGGTCAAATTGAAACTGTTTTGCACATTTCCAAAAGAAAACCCTTGAAATAATCCTAATTCCACAGCTTTATTTAACATCATATGAAGGAGTTCACCAACCACATTAAACAAAAGAGGAGAAAGACTACATCCTTGTCGCAAACCTTTAGCAATATGAAACTCTTTTGTAGGAGACCCATTCAGTAGAATAGATATAGAAGCTGTAGAAATACACTGATTTATCCAAGAACACCACCTTTCTCCGAAGCCCATCTCCTTCATAAGCCTTAACAGAATCTGCCAATCCACGGTGTCATAAGCTCTGCTAAAATCCACTTTGAAAACAACCCCCTGCAGCCCTTGTTTCCTCCAATAATCTATGCCTTCATTTGCTAAACAGGCACAATCCAACAATTGCCTCCCCGGAATAAACGCGAACTGTGTAGGGCTAACAATATCTTTAACACAAGAAGAAAGTCTTTTCGAAAGAACCTTAGAGAGAATCTTATACAAGCTGCCCACTAGACTAATAGGTCTATAATCTTCAATACTCTCAGGATTACCTTTCTTTGGAATCAAGGTAATAAAAGCATGATTCACCCCATGAACCCACTGCTTTCCATTGAAAAAATCTGAAAAAAACTCCATAATCTTCACCTTCAACAAATTCCAATACTTCTTGTAAAACCCCATTGTGAAACCATCCGGCCCTGGAGCTTTTGCACTATCCGAAGCTGAAATTGCTTGCCACACTTCTTGCTCTGTAAATACCTCTTCTAGAGAATCACTTTGAACTTGAGACAACTGTTTAAAATCAAAATTCAAGCCCTCAACTTCCAGTGTAGTTTTTTCATTATATGCATTCTTGAAAAACTTAAACACACTGTCTTTTATCTTTTCTGGATCCGAAATAACTTTGCCTTTACAATTGATAGAATGAATAGTGTTGAATCTATTCCTTTTCAATGCACTAAGATGAAAAAACCTTGTGTTCCTGTCGCCATCTTTAATCCATCTGTTTCTAGATTTTTGAAACCAAATTCTCTCCTCAATCCTTAACAGTCTCCATAATTCCTTTTTAGACTCAATCAATTGTGCCCAATCCCCTGTAGACTGCTTTCCACCTTGACACTTTAAATCCAGATTGTTAATTTTAATTTCCAGCAACGAAATTGACTCTGACAGCCCTAAATGTCCACTTCCAGACCAGTTTCTGATTTCATTTTTTGCACCCTGCAGGATTCTGAAAATTCCACCACTATTGTTCTTCTTCTCTTCTACTTCCAGTGAGTCTGCAACTAAATCATCAAAACCTTGTTCTTCTAAAAGAAATTAAAGAACCTAAAAGGTTTTGGACCCCAATTTGTAGATTTATCCTCCAGCAAGACTGGATTATGGTCTGAAATAGATTTCGGTAAAATCGACTGCACAATGTTAGGGAAAATCTTAAGGAATCTTGCGCAAATAAGGAACCTATCCAATTTCACCCATGTTGAAGATTCTCTATTACTGCACCAAGTGAAAGAACCTCCTGACATAGGCAAGTTAATGAGATTGGCTTTTTGTACGAATGACCTGAAAATATCAATAGTATGCCAATTTTGTGATTTGCCTATCTTTTCTTCTGAATCAAGATACGCGTTAAAGTCTCCCCCTAAACACACTGGTAAATTTAGAGCTCTAACATACTTCAGCAACTCCCCATAAAAAACCTCCTTCCCAGCTTCGACTGTAGGCCCATAAACATTAATAGCTACAAACTCCATAGAACCATGCTTAGATTTTCCTACTAACGCCAGAAACCTACTATGCACAAACTGATCAATGACTTGAACCACGTTCTCATTCCACAATGTAATCAATCCCCCCGATGACCCCTGTGCTGGAGAAACCAACACCCCCTTTAACAAGTTACCTCCAATCCTTCTAAAAATCGCCCCATGGCATCTTTCCAACTTAGATTCTTGAATGAAAAGAAAAACTGGTTTCGTCTTCTTGACTAACCTTGCTGCAGCTACACACTTCTCCCTCCTCCCAAGACCCCTAATGTTCCACGAAATAATACTAAAATTATTCATAAAAAAGAATTACTCCCCCTACACTCAGCTAAAACTGAGCAGCCTTCATCCACCCCTAACTGCATCTGTCTCTTTACCAAGACATAATAATTTATCAATAAAAGCCTCCTTCCCTTCCTTAAATGAAATACCTAACATCTCACACACTTCCCAAGTATCCACTGCTTCCTTCAGTAATTCCACAAAAGAGGAAGAAGAAGCAGTCGAAATATTAACCAAGTCAATAGCTTCAGAAATTAAGGCTCTCCTCTTCCTTCTCTTCCTTCTCTTTTCATTTCCTTTCCCTGAAGCATTCACAGAAATAGCTTCCACCCTTTCAACAACATCATTACAAATGGTAGGGAACGTAGATGTATTCTGAAAATCGGCAGAACTATTGAGGTCCTTATCTTGTCCCTTTCCAATACTATTCGTAGGAAACTGATTTATACTTCTAGGAACAGAATTGTTCTGCTTAAGCTTCGGAGAAGCCATGGGACAGAAGACATCATCTTCAATAGCTGGACACAACCATATTCTTCTATCTCTTGACCTTTTATAAACTCGGGCATAGCGTCCTCTTCCCCTTCTGCCAACAGGAGCACTCCTAATTGACAAACCTATCATAATATCTTCATCTTCCATATCCCCATTTTTCCCTTCTTCTATTGATACACTTCTTTCTTCTGCAAAAAATTCAGACAGATTCTGCTCCTTATTCTTGTTTGCTAGCCTAGCCCAATTCAACTTCACAGCAGGGCCAGCTGGAATAATTTTAGTAACAGGAGAATAAGCCTCCCAATTAGACTCCGAATGGGCTGAACTCTGGACTGCAACCTCTCTCAGCCCAAGGCCTGCAAACTCCCCCCTGGGATTTAATTCAAATTCAAACTTGTCTGACACCCCATTACTATTGGGCAGAGTGTCTGACTTATTTTCCAAATCCTGTTCTCCACCTTCTTCTAACGTCCTCCTTTCTTGACTTTTCTGAAGCCAAGTGTCAACTTTTGACCAGAAACCTTCTGCAGAGTTCTCCCTGTTGTCTCCTACCTTATCTTTGTTTCTACCATCTTCCTCCTTTGACACTTCGTCATTGCAGTTGCCGAATGACACAGTCTGCCTCACGTCTCCATAAGCTTCAGAGAAAGCATTAGAGCTGGATCCCACATTAATTTTAACTTTAAACGATCTGCCATAAGATCCTACAATAACAGATTCTTGTACATCGAACGGACTTGCCACCCTTAGCAGCATTCTAGCCGAAGAGAGGTCATCTCTGTTTCTTGTTCCCTCCGGGATACAAACAACCTTTCCCCACTTTCCTCCAAGCTTCTCTAAAAAAGGAATACTCCAACTAAGAAGCGGTAACCCAACCAACTCGACCAAGCAATAAGCCAAAGGGACTCCATCTTCACTCAACAATGGATCTACCCAATCAAACCAGCAGTAAAGTTTCTCTCTAAGACTCGACCACGCCTTCAGGAACTCTTCATTTGTATTGAAGATAATAATGCATGCGTTCCTAACGTATCCCCACTTTACTATCTTGACCTGGAACCCCTCTTTTGCCAAAGCTCGCACCACCATAACAGGCTGAAATGTATCTTTAAAAATCCCTGTTAAGGAATTTTTCACCCAGCAAAAATCCTCTGATGGGATGTGCATATCCCAGACATTTCTTACTCCTTTTGCTTTCTTCTGACCTTCCCTGTTCACCCTTCTTTGTTGATCCACACTCCTACTGTTATCCACATTCACAACCTCCTTATACGTTCTGCCATCTCTCAAACTTCTCGGTGACTCCAAGTTAACCTGCTGTCTACCATTAGCTTCTCTAAATGGCTTAACCCCTTCCAGCTGAGATCTTTTAACCTCTGCATCTCTCTTCCTGCCCCTCTTATACTTAGCCACCCCCACAGTGACTCTCTTCCCATCAATCAACGTTCCATTTACATTCATAACTGCTCTTCTGCAACCTTCCTCCACCGCATATTGCACAAAAGCAAACGTTGATGACTTATAATTCGTTTTAACCATAAAACTTGGGATAAAGACCCTCACTATTCTACCATAATGGTTGAAAATCTCTCTTAACTCACTTCTGGTAACTCTCTTACTAAGATTTCCAACAAAAACAGTCCATTCCTCACCGGAGAATGAACGACCAAACGCACCCGCTCTCTTTCTCTCTCTACTTTTCTCACTCATGGTCTTTTTTAGCAATTACTAAAAAGATCAAAATATCTTAATGAGCACACTCCTGTTATCTAGGTCGCAAAAATCTATTAACATTGATTGTAGTGACCTGGATACATATTATTTCGGAAATATCTTCCCAGTTCTTCAGCCTGCATGGAAATGAGACAAAAAAATATCAAAATAGAAAACCAAAGAGAAATCAAACAAATGAAGTGAAAGAGATTTAAATAAAATTTTTATTATCCCTCTCTGCCTAATGAATTTCCTTTCAAACCTTAGATGTCTTAAAACTAATGTCCGAATTAAATTCACTAAGCCCTTCACATTTTTATCTTTTCAATACTATCTTCACTTTAAATTGAAATGCTTTTCTTAACTTTACAAGATTGTTTAGCATCTCAAGTGAAAAGTGACTTTATAACTATAGAATAAGTTGAGAACTGAATTATTACCTGTTTCCTCCCAGCATGTGTAAGGACACCCCCATATTTAAGAATCATCAGAGCTTCAACAGGCCTTTCTTCTTCACCTTCACCATTACTTTTTTGAACTTTAACCCACTTTAGGGGCTTTAATTGAACCTTTCTATAAATGCCAGAAAAATGCCCCCCCTGGAAACCAAATAATTTATCATGTGACACGCAGCCCAAACTAACAACTAAAAGAAAAGGGGAGAAAGTAGTTATATATGTGTCTGTTGTGTGTATAAGGAAATATTGTGTTTACAATAAGGAATCAGCTTTTATATCCAGAAGACAGAGATCATTAGAAGAGCAAAGTAATAACAATAAAATAAATATCCTAGAGCTAATATATTGAAAAAGCAAGTGATTTCAAGGTAAGATAGATAACCTCCTCGAGTACTGCCTTAACTTGACGAAGCTTTTCAGCATGCTCAAAATCATCAGCTTCATTATCACTTCCAGCGCCTGGTCTATTTCACATAAATAATCAAACATTGAATCATTATCAATCTTCAAAATAAATTCAAAAGCACCAATTGGTATGTACTTTTCTTATAAAAAATTAATAACATATGCAGATATTTCTTCAGGTAGTATACATCCCCCCACCCAAGAAAACAAAAAAGAAGGGCTTCGAAGTTACTGTAACATAACAGAACAACAGCTAAACTTGTTTCTCCTTTTTTTTTTCTTTCTCAGCTGTCAAAATTATGTCTTTCCCCTTTTAAACTAACCAAGAAGCATTAATTACCTTCTCATTTTCTCTTATTCAATTAAACCATAAAATCACTAGTTTGCACCCACAATATAGCCAATTTTTTCCTCATTTAAAGCAACCTCAAATCCTATCCTACAAAATTTGTTGCAAATCCTCTTCCTGTCTGGTAACAAAGATCAGCTACAAACTTTTGTTTTCATTCCTTTTAGTGCTGAGTTGTAGGGAGGAGAATATTTGAAAGTGTTTCTGCTAGAACAAAAAGAAAGCATGAAATATGACCTGGGTACAAGCATCCTTGTAGCATCTAAAAGATCTTGCAATTCAACAGCACTTTTAAGTTTTGTCTGAAAAATAAAATAAAATAAAAATAGATGCTTAGGCAATAGAATTACCCGTGGAATAAAAATATGCCACAAAAAAAAGTGAAATAATCACCTCAACTCTGGGTCGCCCCCCATTGTACTTTAGCATCAAGTTTAGCAGTTTTTCCTCAGTAACCTTCAATTTTACTTTCTGCTTGGGAGTTCTATCACCACTACTCATTGAGGAAAGTTAAATTAAGAAAGAAAAGTTGAGTGTACTAAAAAACCTAGGAAAACCAGAAAGGAAAATGTAGTAACATACTGGCGAATAACAACTATGACACAACGTAGCTCCTCAGACTGTCCAAATGAGCCAATAACTCCACTTCCTTGGCGAGTAAGTCTTTCAGAAGGCGGGGTTGGTTCATTTACTTTCCATGGTAATGTTGGTGGTATTACTGAAGAAAGATGAGGAGCTTTTGCTTCTAAAAACATCTTCCTCAACACACAAGCTGCATCATCGTAATACCTGTATTATAGAAGAAAGTATGCCTTATTCATAACAAAAATAAAGAGACAATGTGACATTAGTAAGTTTAGAACAAAAGGATAATGCTAAATAAAAGAACCATAAAAACGAAATGAACATAAGCTTTAAATAAACTTGTTTTTTCCATCATATATAAGGAGAGAAAAAAATTTGGAAAAAAAAATCTATCCTCCAAATTATTGGTTTCACCAAATTCCATGGTTGGCTTGTGGAAATTACCATTAACACTTTGATTAAATTACTTCACATCAAAAGTGGAATCTAGCTTAAATAACATGTGTAAGAATTTCTTTACAAAAGCTCAAATAATTAATGAGCTTATTATATTGTACTTCGTTCCATTGACTGATAATATTAGCCAAGTTCCATTGGAGACATAACAAAGACACAATGGATAGACAAGAAAATAAAATAGAAAACCAAGATCAAGCACTTAGACTTTGCTAGGTAGGAAGGATGCAGAGGGGTAAGTACGGAAATTTTGATAATCCAATGGTGAGGTTTCGTGATCATACTTTGCAACTTAACCATTGGATTGACAATTTTTTCATCTTTATCACTTTTCATCCTTCATACGGTGCAATGCCTTATAGACATCATTATATACAGAGCCATCATGCACATTGATTTTTTTCATTCCTCCTCTTTCTGTCCATGATACATGCTATAATTTTTTGATAAGAATTGCAGGCCTCTTTAAAAAACCCCTTCCTGATTAAAGGAGCTTGTAAGGAAGCTCCTTAATCAGAGGAAGGAGGAAAAGAGTGCCTTAGAATTTCATTCAACAACTGAAATAACATAAGATACAACCAGAACAACACCCCTTCAAAAACAGAAAAACAGAAGACACCCAAAAACAACCAAAACCAACAACACTGACTTAGGGTAAACCAATTTAGATACTGCAGCAGCCTCTGATTGGTTTACCTTTTACAAAACTACCACCACCCTTACAGACTCAAAGCTTATGCTTAACCCCAGAAAACACAAAGCATATAAACAAAAAGCTTACAAAGAATCATCCAATCCCCTGCTTAGCTAACTTATCAGCCTCCATATTACAACTCCTAGGAATCCATCTAAGTACATGCTATAATGATAATTAAAGTTAATTAACGAAGGCGCCAAATCACTTTACGCACGCTCATACAGATACAGAAAATTATAATTGTGATATTGCACTCAATACAATATGTAGCATGATCAAACGGAAAATATTGATACGAACAACACCATGTATTATCACAAGACCAAAGAGAAACTACTACTTGTGAGAATTTTTCACAAAACTCCATCCATTCACATCACAAACATATGAGCGCCCCTCGGAACGCAAAAGATCAAATCCACACACCTGCAAGAAATCAAACTGGTTATTAAATTGATATGCCATTCAATTCATTATAAATGGTAATGTTAAGCATCCAACCTAAAATCAATTGTTAACAGGTGAAGGGACCAAACTTTAATATAAGACCACAAAAACATTAACTTAACAATCATCAGATAAACACTTCCCCTCACATTTAGCTCGCGAGACCTACATATGGACAGCCTCACACATGGTTATCTAGGAAGAACAACATAACAAGGCTGTGACACCATGTTAAGAAACCAACCTAAAACCAATTAGTAATAGGCCGAGCTGCCCAACTTTAATACTAGACCACAGGAAAACTAGTACTTAATAGATGCCTAGTTAAAGCACTTGATAGAGGAAAAAAATCTTGAGTTAGGTTAGGCATTTCTGTCAATGCCAGACAAGCAGAAAGCTCTTAAACCCATCTTTCTAAATTTAATTAAAAAGAAAAGGCGGTGCTAAGTGCAGTTATTGCTGCAAGCTGGCAACATCGTTTAGACAACTCAAAAAAAAAAAGATGTTTTTCCTAAAATTCCATGAAACCGGTCTTCATAAATAAAATATATTGTAACGGTTAACATGCAAACAGATCTTTTAATCCCATGATTTAAAGATTAACTAGAAAAGGAACTACTAAAATTTTAACATATATATATATATATATATAAGAAAATCTAAGAGCTAAACATGATAGTAAAATATATAACAAAGCAATAGGTGCAAATAATATCCCAAGAATTTAATATGAACTTATGAAAGACACTCTTCATGCAAAAAAGAATTTATATGAGCACATTATTCTTGCAAAAAGAACTCATGTTGCAAACCATTATAGAACAAAAAGACAAAGGCAAAGTTGCACGAAAAGAAAACAAATATAAGTAGTAGCGGTAGATATCATATAGCACAAATACATGGCAATCAATCGATAAAGATAAACAAAAAGGGCTATGGCATATTTCATAAATAAGATTAAACAGACATACCGCTTGTCTAAATGCGATGCAGACTTCCCTTGCCATTTGCTTCTCATTAGGTGTCAGCAACACAGGATATCTTATCTGTCAAATTAGGTAACACAGATATGCTCAAACATCATATATTCTACCATCCATGTGAAAATATAGTAGCAGTGAATTAGTTATGTTGGCCAATAAGGTAGCTTGTTGTGTAACATGCTAAATGCTCTACACTAATAAGTAATAACCATATAACCTTCTGCATTAGTTATGTAGCCAATAAGGTAGCTGATTATGTAATGTACTAAATGTTCTATGCATCAATAATGATTAACTAATCCTTCCATCACTTTTCACTGTGCAATTCATGGAAGTGATTTGCCTTAATGAAAAGGAATAAATAAGCCATTATAGGGGACAAGATACACTCGAACACAACCTTTTGCACATGATTTTGTATCATTATCTTTTTGCAGATGCTTTTTCTACTAAATTATTGACTTGACCATGTATACAAGTGATTGACAAGGAATCATAAGGAACAAATAGTGGGCTTTCTGAACATGTACTCGGTGCATACATCAAAGAGACATAAAGAATATGCTTTGGATTATATATTACCAAATACTTACTTCTTTACCATCACGATTTCTCATTACAACACCATCCACAACAGGAGACTTCCTAGCCTCAGCATGAGCATATTCAGGGCCAACTGTATAGACCTATATTCATTTGACCGAATGATCAGACAAATTTGCCAAGGAAAGAGACTGACAGACAGAGAGAAAGCAGCAACATGGATAATGTTAAAAGTTAAAAGAAACTCAGAGAAAGATCCAGCAGAACCATAAGAACCTATTTCACGGTCTGCGTATAATGGTTTTTTCTTCCTAATGCAAATATCAATGCCTAAAAATCAAAATACAAGATCTGAACTAATAATAGTATTAAAATTCACAGAAACAGAAAATGTGAGGCTACCCCTTATATGATATTTCCCTCCACTCTCATAGCCAAACAGAGTTAAATGAAAAGAGTGCACTGTGCACTATTGAATGCAGAAAATTTTGCAAGCCAACAATTACACAATCAGGTTTCATATAATTACCACTCAAAGTATACTAAATTAAATACAAATTTTGTAAGAACCTTCACATCAGTTCCTCCAGTTGGCATAAACTCCTCATATATGTAAGAACCTTCTCGTCTTACTCTTCTAACTTCAGGATGGAATTCACTTGATCTGTTTCCAACCTAAAAGAGAAGCTATACCACATTACAAGTTATATTTTCCAGGAGAATATCAAAACAATGATGGACAATTAAGCATATTGTTGGCTGCATTTAAAAATAGAATGAGAAACAACAGTTTGCCTCTTAAATCAGGCAAAACGTTGACAGCATTCTTCAAATAGCGCATGATTCTTATAAATTCATATCAGAACTTCAAAAATAACAAAGGTTATAGCCAAAAGTTCAAGATAGATATTCAGACCTTCCTAAACAATTCTTTCATACCTCCACCTGCTGAGCTGGGGTAATATATCATTATACTATGATCATCCCCTTCAAAAAGAACAAAACAATGCTGTTAGGATACATGCAAACAGGGAAAAGAGTCTGACAAGAACAACAGCACAGTTATGAACTCTAGAGAACAGGAATCCTCCCAAGCTTCATGAATTAGGTTTAAAGACTCAACTCCGTGCAGCTTAAATGTGCATGGTTCTCAAGAACAGAACCTAATAAACTGAGAATATAAATTTTTAACTTAAAATAAGGAAGTGTAGGGATTTGTATATGCATATTTTGATAATTTTCATAAGCTGGGTGGCTGTTATTCAACATATCATAAAATCAATAAGAAGACAATCTTATACTTTATATAGATTTTGTTATTTTCTTAGAAAAAAGGTTTTACAAGAAACAAAAGCAAAATGCCCGCCCCATAAATTCTATAAATCAAGCCAGTCAATAAATCGATATTATGTAAGAAAACACTGATCTAAATATATTGTACATGCAATAACCTTATTGATCCTCGTCCAGTATTTGATCTTGTTTCATTACCCAAAAGAAATATGCTTTAACGTACTCTTTGCGTCACAGGTCTAGTTTTATGTAAATAAGAATGCCACAAAGAACCATATTAAGTTCATACTCAGAATACTGGTAAGGAGCGAACAGATTCAAGAAGATAAAAGTTAAAAGCATGAAGACCAATCTAACCGTCAACAGGCTTCTCCACAAATGGCTTCCAGAAAAGATTTCCATGCACTTCAACATAATCTTCATCTTCAATAAAATAATCCAGCTCTTGGTACGGTGCTTCTCTATTTACAAGGGCATATCTTGGAACAGATATACCGAACATTTTAAGCCGCTTGAATCCCAAAATAATTAGGTTAGTCTTTTTCAATCAACTGCTATAACATCTTACATTTAAAAGTTTATATAATCAATTCTCAGACAAGCTCAAAGGATAAATTATTTGCTCAAAGAATAAAAGCTTCGACCAATTATGTTATAGATCTAGCCTTATCTCATATTCAATCAATTTTAAAACATTACAAGTATTACGTTGGGGACAGGAGAACCAAACTACTACTAAGCCATCTCACCTACATCCGAAACGAAGCAGGTCAAGATGGATGCTTAGGATGCGTACCTCATATACTTTTCGTCGATCATGAAGAAGGTGTTGTGGTTCCAACTCATTCACAAGGAACGGTCTGAATCAAAGAGCAGAAAAAGTTGCAAACATAAATAATTACTGCTTGCTGGGTATAGAAAAGAAGAAACTGTTATTATTCAAAGAACTAGATTATAAAAGAAATGCAATAAACTACTAGATATTCTATAGATTAAGAAAATTGAAACTATGGAAAGAGTTAACTTCCTTCAGTCTTTAAGAGATCGATTCTGCATAAGAAACATAGTTGAGATGGAATAATCCGGTTACAGCTTCACTTACATGGATGGGTTGAAATAAGTTAAAATGAAATAAATAAGGCTAAAGTTACTGCAGGTCTAGACTATAATAAAGGACTCAAATACTAGGACACTAGTGTAGACCATGGCACTTAATAAAACAGCCGTAATGTGGCACTTCCCGACGCAATCATGTGCAAGAACCAAATTTTAGACTTTCCCAACCTATGTTAGAGATATTGACTGAACAATCACCTTGAACATGATTATCTTCATATTTTCATAGCCCACTGCTCTTGAGCATTAACCAATACACCATTTGGATTGAGTCCTAAAATTTCAATCTATGGAGACCTCATACTTTTCCATACTGATGGATTCATGTTGATGCTTGGTAAGTTAGGCCCAAGATCCAATCAAAATTACTATAAACGATTAATTCTCTTACTTTTAATTCTCTTACTTGTTGCAAGATAGGCTTAATTGACAACTCATATTACTTTTATTGGCAATTAAAAGAGGATTGCTTCTGCTTGAGGAATCAGGCCATGTTTCAAATCGAAGGCTTATCCTTGAATCGGATTGTTCTACTGCTTTGGAGTGGATAAAAAATCCGGGTATTTGTACACCGCTGTTCGAGTCTTTGGTGAAAGACATTGCTTCTCTAGTGGTAGGACAGGATATTATAGTTAGGCATCTTTTGAGAGCTGCCAATTGGGAGGCGGATAAGTTGGCAAAAGATGGAATTGGATGATTCCAGTGTTGTGTATCTGGGTGTTTTGTGTTGTTTTGAGTTGTTTGTTTCAGGTCAGGGTGTTTTTATTTGTTTTGAGCTGTATGTTGTGAGTGGAGGGTGTTTGGAACAGGCTTTGTAATATTGTCCTATTAATAAAATTCTCAGGCACCCTTTTCCTCCTTCCAATGTCCTTCAGGTTACTGCTGTAACATGAAGGTTATGAAGGGGGTTTTTAATGAGGCCTCCATATATTTTCTATCAAAAAGTTTCGCACGTTACAATTACAATTAAGTAATCATATTTGAATCTAAAATCAATTAAAATTTCCTGCAATTAGGAAAGGATGTGATTCCCTACTATGAACATGCAAATATATATATAAGAACTTACTTCCTTAAATCAGCATATGCTTCAGCCTTCTCAAGGGGAAATCCAGAGGAGTAAAATGCAATCAAACAATCACAGACTGGCCAGCTGAAACAAGCAACGTTATAAGGAATTATGAACTCTCAAATGAAATAAGTAATAGAAACAACGCAAATCTTGACCATTAAGAGATTGATATCAATAAGTACTTTCACTAGTAACACACATATTGATATATCGCTCTCACATCCTCGGACTTATTTCCCTTCGAAAATTATATAATATTTAAAGGGAAGGAGAAAGAATAAAATACCGGACAATAAGAAGCAGCTCTTGTAATCATATAATCATCAGACTCAAACACCATCTTTCAAAGAAAAATACAAATTTCAAGGCACTAAATGAATAGGAAGAGAACAGCTGAAAGACAAGACTTCAAACTTCACAACATAAATGAAACCAGTCTATTTACTGCTTTCAACTGGAAATTTAATTTGCAAATCTGTGAGGGAGATCCACACCTCTTGTTTCTTATTCCTTTCCCCTTTCTTCTAAATAAAAAATAAAAAATGATAAAGGGACAGAATACCAATTGTGAAAAATATAATCAACAAGATCATAATGTAAATCTGCAATAATGTGTTTCAACTAAATAACCAAAAGTGTACCTTTCTATCGGATCTTCAAGAATAACCTTATCACCAAAATAGAGAATCTACAAAAAGAGGGGGGGGGAACATTCTATCATAAGAAAAAACAATGTAACATTTTTCTTTAAATACCCGTGTTCAAGGCTCATATTTGATACATATGCATGGATGCGGGACATGACCATTGAAGTATCCTCCAAATACATGAACATGAAAAGAAAAAAAGTTCAAAAATAATTTAGAAAAAATTAAATACACAACATACCCATAACTGACTCTCAAACCCCAGTCAGTGTAACGTAGGCTGCACTATCACATTCATGCAAAAGCAAACTCCAGCATAGCATTACAAACACTCCAACAGAATTTACCAAGAAGAAAAGAGTATATTTTTTATCACTGTAAATCATGATTATCCATTTACATTTTCACTAAACTAACTTATATGAGTACATCAAACTCCACTCAAATATATTATAAAACAATACTAATTCAGATTAATTTAAATTTAAGGCTCGATAGTTTTATATGATCCACCTCAAATTCGCCAAAAGCCTTAATCCTGTCCAGAATCTGTCTCATTGGAGCAGAAAAGGCCTGAAAAAGGAACAGAATAAATATTTAAAACTTAAAATTTAAGTACTAAAGCATAGCAATAAATGCTATATATCACTATATAAACCATTCATTCCTCCAAAAAACGCCTTTTTCAAAAACAATATCATAATTTCCATATATTTAGTAGAAAACTTAAGCAAACAAAAGAGACAAGGACCTCGCTTCCGCATTTCACCTTCTTTTCCATGACGCAAACTCCAACAATTATTATCTTCTCATATACTTCTCCTCCTCCTCCTTCTCCCATATCTTTTATCTCAACGAACACATCGATGGGAAACTCTTCTGCTACCGAACACCGCCAAGAAGCCAATCCGTAAACTTCCAGATAGTTATAAAGATCTAGGAAAAGAAGAAGACGGTGAAAACCGGGGAAACAAAAAAAAACAGAGAATGCGATTCGGCGAAGAAAAAGGGAACAAGGCGTAGAGTATGTGGAGAGAAAAATGAGATGGAGCGTTCAAAATGCCGAAATAAATGAAAGATAGGATTAAAATGATATTTATAGATTCCTTTAAGTATTGGGGGATGGTTGGAGGCAAAAGATGATGGATTCTGGTATATTCAAGTGGGTGATGATTTTGATCTCCGTAAGGGACCTGCGATGTTTAAGGTTTTCCTTTTTCTTTGGGTAAAATACATCAGACACACCAAATTTTATGTGTTGTATCGTTTATATCACTGAACTTTTAATTTTCTCAATTATAACACTAAATTTTGATTTTCGTTTCAATTATACCACGGGGCCGTTAAATCTTTAACAGCTGGATCAAAATGATGACATTTTAGTGAGGTGTCTATATCAGCAGTCGTAAGCCATGACATCATATCATTAACGATTTAACGGTTTATTGGTATAATTGAAACGAAAATCAAAGCTTAATGCTATAATTGACAAAATTTAAAGTTCAGTGGTATAAATGATATAACACCTAAATTTGGTGGTATCTGATGTAGTTTAATCTTTTCTTTTTTTAAAATTTGGATAGATTAATGGATTAGTCACTTTTCTTTCGTATGTTGTACACTTATACTATCTAAATTTAAAAAAAATTATTATATTATTAATTTATTAAATTTTGATAACTTATGTTATCGGTTATTATATTTTGATCAGCGAGTTGTTACTTCTGGTTAGTTTGATGATGTGTACCTCAGTCAAAAAGAGTTAATTTTTCATTTTACTCTTGAACGTTATATGAAATATTAATTTGACCTTAAAATTTAGATACAGCATCAATTTTGACTGTAGATTTTACATAAAATATCAATTTGACCCCTAAAATCAACCAAAGTCTCATATCGCTACCACCACTCACCACAATCATCATCAGTTAGAATCGATTATCGTCATTGTCAATTGATAAGCAACAAAATTTAAAGTTCACTCCTTTTTGACATTCTAAATATGAATATAGTGTTCGTTTCATCGAAAAATATCTGTAACACAACAAAATCTAGTCTAAAACCCTTCGATTTCCTTTAAAATTAAACCATAATAATAATTTATTATTAGTATTCCTTTAAAAAAATAGCATAAGAACTAAATTGAGGATTAACTAAACTAAGAGAGGAATGAGTTATTAAGCCAAAATAAAAAGGTAGCTTTTCACCAACATATGTTGATTCAAGTAGTAAGCAGTTTAATATCATTTAAGTAAGGTCATCGCTTAAGTAATGTCTCAATTTCAAATTTTTGTGTATGTAGAAAATCTCTGTTGGGAGACTTACCCACTAAAATTGGATGTGCAATGCGAGTCGGCCTGAATAGTCAAGACGAAACTTTAGAAGAGGGAGAAAAAAAAAGTTAGCTTTTCAAGTCTTAACCACGGCGAAATAATGGGCGTTGATAAAACTGTAGTCAACGGAAGTTGTTTTAAGGCATTGCATAGAATCTGACACTTCACCAACCTCTTCATTTCCTTTTTTCTCTTTTAAAATTCATGAAACAAAACCCCATTAATTATCTGCTTGCTTAGTGCTTACTCATTTTAATTTAACGTGTAAAAGATGTTTTTACTTTAATTTCTAAAGCCAAAAAAAAAAGTGTCAACAGTGGTAGTAATCCCGTCAATTCTCTTTCAGATTCAGAAGCAAATAGTTAATGTTATGTAGAATATTCATAATCCCTTTTGACTCTTAGGCTTTTACAATGTGAAAATCGTGCCCAATATTGATTTTACCACTTTTCCAGTATGGAAGTTCTGTATAAGGGTGTAAATGAATAGAATGTTAAGTAAATTGTTTGTGAATCGTTCGTATAGTGTTCATTTATGTTCATTTGTGAAGTTAAATAAATGAATATGAATAAATTCTTTTATGTACAATTAATAAACGAATGAACACAAGTAGAAGTGTGTCCGGTTCGCTTATGTTCACAGACAAGCTCGTTTACCCGGTTCTCCTTTTCCTTTTATTTTTTTACATTTTAAATATTGGTGAAGGTAGAGATTAAATTGAACACATGGTAAAAGTTAAAATTTAAATTGTAGATTTTAAGGAGTTTAAGCATTAGTGGTGTAATTTTACTATTTTCTTTTTCTTGTAGATAAAAGGTTAAAACTAAAAATTGAACATATAAACGAACGATAAACGAACATGTTCGTGAACGCTAAAGGAACATATTCATAAACATACAAACGAACACATTCACAAACATTAAATGAGCATGTTCGTGAACAATAAATAAACAAACATGAACACCTTCAAAAATAAATAAACGAACATGAACATGAATCAAACATGAACACCTTCAAATATAAACAAACAAATACAAACATAATTTTGTTAGTTCAAGTTCGGTTCATTTACACCTTAACTCCCGCCTAAATAGTGTTGCTACAAAGAAATGCTGTAAACAATAACTTGTTTAAGAAATAAATCACAAAATTAGTTATTCTAAACTAGTTTATTATCCCCTCCTTGAGAATCAAATTATTATAGTTAAAACGTGTAATACAAGTTTCACGAGATTCAACAAACACAAGAAAAACTTCAAAAAACAGGATCCTTGTTTTTTCTCTAAGATGAAATCGAAAACATGAACACCATAACATGCTTATAATCTTTTCCAGGATGAATAATAGTGGAAGGAAAGTTTGGATGATTAACAGAATCTGGAAAAGCTCGAGTCTCCAAACACAAAGCTCCAAAGGGTTGATAAACATATCCACCTTTCCCTTTCACGTCTTTCAGGAACTTAGCTGAATAAACTGAACACCAGGTTGATTGGTAAACAGCTCCATCACTCTCCCAGATTTATTATCTTTAGCCATGGCAGTTTTCTTCAGCTTTCCAGGAACACCATCAATGACATAGTTGATGTCGTATCCCTTTGTAAGTTTGTTGATTCGGCTTCCCACAATGTGGGGTTTGAGGAAATCATAAGGTGTTCCTTTTACGGTGGCGATTTCGCCTGTCGGAATGAGTTGGCTGTCGACCGGAGTGTAGCTTGAAGCGAATATCTGGACTTGTTCTGATAGATGTCGCCACTGTTGTGGTTGACGAGATTCCAATACGTGTGTTGGACTAGGTTCACTGGTGTGGCCTTGTTTAGAGCTTTAGCTTTCATCTTGACAATTATCAGCCTGTTGCCTGGATGAAGGGTGTAGGACACAGTTACCTCCAGTGCACCAGGAAATCCTATGAATTATACAAAGAAATGAATTATAAGATTTTTTTTAAACAAAACGAAGTAATAGGATGATAATATCATAGATGATTAATATAATTGATGAATTGAAAGTTTGGATGGGAAAAAGGAAGTGGACTGACCTTCTTCACCATCGTAGCTGTGATATGCAAACACAATGGAAGGAGCATAGCCATCTTTCTTGTACATCTTAACTTTCCACACAACATCACTAAATCCAACAAGACCACCTAATGATAATGATTTTAAAGAGAGAAAATTAAAAACATTGCTAAACGTGAGTAATTAAGATGAAAAATGAAGGATTAATGTACCATGAAGCATGTTTTTGCCTTCATTGGGGACCAATTTGTAATGGAGTCCGTTCAAAGTGAACTGAGCCCCTGCTATTCTGTTAGCAACCCTTCCAACAATGGAACCAATATACGATGTATCATTCTGCAAAAAAAAAAAAAAAAAAAAAACAATTCTTCTGTATGAAAAGAGGACAAACACGGATGAACATGATGAAAATCTCTCCTAAGATTTTCCATGTACTCCTTGACTGAATCATATCCCAGAACAATATCACCCAAAAAAATAAATACTCTTGAAATAAGTGATTATTAATAAAAACCAAAACTTTAAAAAGAGTTCTCCACTGGTTACAACTTGAAGTTCTCAAGTTTCGGAGAGAAAATGGAAGTGCTAGAGTTTAAGAGAACTAACCATATTTGTCAGGGAGGATCACGGAAACAATAGTTGCTCCACAGTTGATGAATTTAACAGACATATCACCTTTCTTCAGCTCATATATCCCAACCTTCTCCTTTGCTTCAGAGCCATTGATAAATGCGTAAGCTACTATTATGAACAAGAAAACAAGAAGAAAGATATCCTAGCCATGTTTTGGAACTCGATGAAACGAGGTTGATGAGTTCCTAAGGTTATTTATAGGAATAATAAGAGGGAGGTTAATTCTTTGTTTAGATAAAGATGACAATATAAACAAAAACAGAAGAAGGGTTATAAATATTATGCAAATTGTTTCTGGCTCATATTATTCAAATTTTAGACTTTTTACGATAGTTTACTACTGACAGACTGGAAATATTAGTTTTTGGCAAATTATGAATATTCTGATCATTCATGAACCAATTAACCAAAGGCTTTTAGCTTCATCATGGTTTTAGGGTTCATAATTAGCAAGTAATGACGAAAACATTAGATGGGATTATAAAGACCCTTAGCTAGGATCTGAAGTTTTCAAGTTTAATCATTAAAAAAAATGAGCTTGCATTGCTTGTGAGTTGTGATACCTAAAGAGCAAACAATTTAAGAAACTGGGACCTAATTTATTTATTTTTGATTAACCACAGTATCCGGATTGAGTATTGCTGAGGCTTATTATGAAGTTAACTCTTCTAACTTAGCATATTTCATTCACAACGTCAAGATTATTAGAAATCAAGTCAAAACATAATTTTGAACTAACTACAGGTTGTATATGGATAGATGTATAGTAAGCTAGGTTTCTGAGACGTGGATGCTACAAATGCGCATTTTTATTAGCTTGTACAGGTAACTAAAAAAAGGATCATGCATGATAATATTGGAAGGCGTT